AGTACAGACCTCTACATGCTTTGTAAGTAGGAAAACCTGCAAAATCGGCAGTGTATCAAATACTTGTTCTCCCCACTGTGTATATATATGTATGCACTAACTGTAAAGTCCCTCTGTAAATGAAACCAGTGGAGCCTCCCTAAATGAGGAAGGGGAGGAACATCCTCCTCACTGAATTTCATAAAATTTTTAATTGTAAAACATTTCAAAAGTTATGCTTTTTAGATAAAACTATACTAAATATATTCACATCACCAAATAATTGATTAAAACACATTGTTTTGCAATGAAGGGCTACAGTAGCCTCAACAGCACTCTGTAGGGTAACACCATGGTGTAGCCATTTGACGCATTGCTGCGTACCGCTGTGTCAACGGAATAAACCTGTTATTCTGTGATTTACCCTCCTGTGCTTGACAAATCACATCACCACAATCAGAGAATTAATCTAGTACTGAAAGCATAAGTTACAGCTAGCTAGCACTGCAGTGCATAAAATCTGGTGAGTAGTTGACTCAAAGAGAGAGAGACAATATTTGAACAGTTCTGAACAAATTAATTTATTCCAAAATGAAGGAGAAGCAATAGAAAAATCGATAGAGAGATTTCGTCATTTTTTTTTCACTTTCAGTTTAACTTACTTAGCTAGCAAATGCAGCTAGCTAGTTTAGCCTACTCAAACACCCTGCTTAAACAGAGGGATGCTATGTTAGCTAGCTGGCTATGGACTATCCATCACAACACTGGAACTCTTCCAAGTCAAGGTAAGCTTTTGGTTTTATAAATGTATTGCCACCTGGCCCGCCGGTGTAAGTGCTAAACTGCTTACTGACTGTACACTGTAACGTTACTGCATGATTGTAGAGGGTTTACTAATGCGTTAGTTGTATTAGCTATGTTGACTATGACGTTACTTTAGCTAATGTGGTGACGATGTAGGCTATGTGTAGCGGTTATGATATGGTTTGACTTGTAAAGGTTTTTTCGCCTGGTCACATACAGCTGATGTGTTGTGCATTGAAGTCCACAAGCGAAGGGAAAAGGTGAGAGGAGGAGAGCGCATAGATGCGAGAAGGAATACAACGTGGCTGCTATGAAAGTGAACTGTGTTTACGCGTGATCGGGGTGTATTCATTCTGCCGATTCTGTTGAAAAAAGGTTTCTTAAACGGAAGCAAAAGGAATGAAACGGGGATAAACATACCTGAATACCAATAGAAACTCTCGTTTGCAACTGTTGGACTAATAATTACACAGTATATCAGCTAGATGCAGACAAGAGTGTGCAAGGCGGTATTGAATGTGCCACTGTCTGTCCATGTGTCACTGTCTGTCACCTCAAATCTTTCTCTTGACCTGTATGCACCTACGTTGTAAACTTTCAATCATAGGCTAGGTTGTAGCAACCTCATGATGGGTGTATGGACAATTTGAGTATCATGTAGTAGCCTAAACCTATCGCTGTTACATTGAACTGGGTGAATGGAATATGATTGACAGTCATACAGTCTGCGGCAATAGAAATAAGGCCATGCTCATAAAAAAAAAAAAAACGTCCTCCCCCATCTTAAATGGCACCGACAGCCACTGGGGGAAATCCTCAACTGTAGTTTATGCCTCATCGCAAATGTTATTATGGTTTTATTATAAAGGGGCTTTTTCTTCAACTGTAAATTTACCACGTATCGAATTACATCTTGGTGCACAGATTTACTTACAGAAAATGATGGTGGCCTATGATTTCTTAATCCGGCCCTGGTGAGCAGGACATGGTTCTGAGCAATGTTCTCTCTAAACTGTGCGGGCAGGGCAGAAATATCAGCCCACAGAGAGAAAAACAAGGTTGAACTTCACTCAACTTTCTAGAGGAGTGGTCACCAACCAGTCGATCGCAGTCGACTAGTCGATCTCCAAGTCATTCCTAGTCGATCGCCAAACGTTTCTGTACAAAACCCAACGATAAAGGCTTGTGTTCCTATTTTTTGTTATTCCTCTCTCTTGACAGTAGGTGCATCCGATTCAGCTGCCCTGCGTGCTGGGTAGGTGAACTGTTGTCATTTTGAACCCTTTCATGTGTCTGAAGGTACAAACTCTGCCTTCCCTGCGGGCCCAAAGACCAAATCAAGTGCACTATAGGCGTACCGCTGGCCAATCGGATTGCTCAGATGACCGTGTCTGCAGTAATGTAGCAAGCAGGAAAGAAAGCTACAGCAAAGTTGATACTGTGAGATTTCAAACCGTTTAAAACCATGACCAGAGAGAGACTGTCAACACATACTGCAAAGAGATGCTGTTTTTATTAGTGAGTTCATGTTTAAGTTCTTACTCAGCACTGTCAACAGTTTGTATTCAACACATATATAAGCCATAAAATGCGCGTTCTTCCTATTTCCACTCAGTGCTACAACAAGCTTGCATTGTTGTTATTATTAGCGGCTTGGGTCTTTTTTAATATCGAGGAATATTTCACTTTCTCTGTTCATAGGAGTTACAACATGAATTTGTGCATGATATGAAATAATTTGGTGCGACTCGAGTTTTGCCGTCATCTGGAGGACTGTGTTCCTTTGTGGTCAGTGTCAGCGGAGGAAAGGGAGAGCGGAGGGATGTTGAGAGGCGGACCCTCAGTCTGCTGCTCTCTGCCTTTGTTACAGGAGTGGGTCGCAGTTCCGGAGCGACCCACTAGGTGTCATCCTCCGACAACCTTAGGCACCTCCTCACTCACAGTCGGGACTAATTATCTGCCTATTGGTGTCACCTGTGTCTATCTGATTCACCTGTGTATTTATGCCCTCACTTCCCTGTGTTCCCTTGCTCCGTTTTCTCTGCTAGTTCCTTGATGACAAGCAGTACGTATCAGTGTCGGATCACGTGACGGAGTTACAGGTACTCGAGAAGTGTTCTCTCTGTGTCATTGTGTTTTCCAGTCAGAGTTAGTATTTCATATTGTTTGCTGTCAGCCTGTTTTTTGGAGACCTATGTGCTCCTCATTTGTTTTCGTGAATAGTCCATTGTTTTGTATCCTGGCTTTTGGACCACCAGTAAAGATCCCTGTTTCACCATCCTTGCCTACTGTCTACTGTCTATCCTGCACCGCACCTGGGTCACACCTCACACCAATCCTTACACCCTCTGCTGAGACTGACCATCAGATGCAGGCACCATCAGCCCAATAAAATAAGTCATACAGCAACAGATCTATTACCGATGTGATCATATAGCCTACCTCAACATTTGTTATATAATTTTAAAAAATGGCCCAAACAACAATGCATTGGTAGGGCAATTCAAGCAAAGCCAGTGTGCGGTGATAATGTATTAGGCCTATAGCTTACTGCACAAACCTCATTTCTGCAGTACTGTTTTTAATTGGTTAATGTTGTATAGGCTTAAGTTTTTCATATTTTAAAAAATCTGAGTGGTAGATCTCGGCTTGCATTTTGACTCAAAGTTATCTTGACTCAAAAAAGGATGCTGACCACTGTTGTAGAGTTTTCCCTGTTAACACTACTAACGTTTCCCTTTAACCTTTTAAGGATCTGACCCTTTTTTTCAATTTTCACCTAAAATGACATACCCAAATCTAACTGCCTGTAGCTCAGGACCTGAAGTAAGGATACGCAACATGCCGAAACAAAACTAACTATGCAAGAGATTTTCTTATAGGCAGAACGCATCGGAGTAGGATTCTATTGCATTGACACGCACTACTCAGCCCGTACTCTACACAGACCAGTGCGGCATAAATAATCAGAGCTGCAGTAGGCCAATATGCAAATAGACCATTGCCATATTTGAACTGGACTGTGTTTACAGCATGAGCGGTCGTGATTAGATGCACTTGTTTTGAGATCAAAGCGAGAGCTGCGTGTAGCCACGTGTGCACATTTTGTTAAAATCCTTTGCTAGTTAGTGAGTTATTAGCTCAGTTATAGATTATTTGTAGTCCATAATAGGGGAGTGATTGCTTCCTACAAGAGCACAAAACGTATACATTTCTAGGCATCTTTGAAAAGCGAGTCAGGTAAAGAGCTTTTTATTTTGTCTTAAAGGGGCAGTGTTGTATTTTGAGTCAGGCTTGAATAAGATAAGTAGCCAATAGGCAGTGTAGCATAATTTGTCTGATTCTCTGTAATAATGGTATGGGTATAATAATGCATTTTATTTTTGTAAAGTGGCTTCTTGCATCAAACAACACAACAACATCTTCAGTCACCTCCTTGTCTGAAGGACAAGTGGATAAACAGGTTAATGTCAAGTCCTGCATGTTTTTTCTTTTTAAGTCTCATGGAATATAGGACTACATTGAAAATGTATGCACTCACTAACTGTAAGTCGCTCTGGATAAGAGCGTCTGCTAAATGACTAAAATGTAAAATGTAACACCACACATTGGCTGCTAATGTGGGATGAATGATATAACAGCTATTTCCATGTTAAAATGTTATGGGATGAATTTCCTCCATTGTTTTAGATGGTAGGCCACTCTGGTAGACCTACATTATGATCAAATAGCCACAGTGGCCTACATGGCCACTGTTAAAACTGTAACTTAAAGCGGGTACAGCCTCAGTGTTCACAGTAAATGCACGCTGGAAGTTGCACAGACTTTTCACAACTTTCACGTTTGCGCTCAGCAGACCTGAAATTTGCTCAATGCTGAAAAAGATTAGAGGGAATATTGGTTGTGAGTGGACGTGGTTTACACTGTGGGTTGTCGGACGATGCAGTGCTCGTCTCGTAGCCAGTTGAGGTTGTAGATTTGCTAATGCACACATTTATTTTCTATTTCTCTGTTCAGTGTGTCAATCTTGTACAATGCAAAGACCATGCATCACTGTTTGACAAAAGGCACATGTCAAACCCATATGCTGTGGTTTCATGTGCTTCTGAAGTTAATCACATTAGAGAGGGGCCATTTCCCCAAAACAGGAAACATAACTGTATGGGTGTAATGAAAACTAAACCATAATGTCTTGACAAACTTTCTAGTTTACAAACATGTCCTCTCCTCAGACTCTGAGAGTTTTAACATCTAGTGGTGGGCTTCCAATATGGATGATGCTTATACATCTTTACATAAGCTATGGTAGGTTGAATATGTTAATAGTATTTGTATATCTTTTTAAGTCTAACACAATATAATTACTGCTAATCTATTCTAAAGCATTGCAAATCTTTAATTTCAGTTGTTGCAGAGGACATCACCAGAGTGGTTGGACGCATAGGCGACTCTATATTCCTTCACCCTGAAATTGACTTACAAGCCAAGATCCCTGACATGACATGGAAACATGCAAATATGTATATAGCTAAAAAGGGCAAATTAACTAATTTAATGGATAGGTGTAAGTTATTTCTAAATGGTTCACTGAAGTTTTATGAAGGACTGAAAACAGACAGTGGATATTACACAGTGGAACTATTTAATGATGATGGAGAACTTATATCCAAGCGGCACATTGAGCTAAGTATTCTAGGTGAGTAGTTTGCAATTGTTGCATATTTGACATAATCTGCTCTATAATCTACATTGAAATTTTTTTCGATTTGACATAGAAGTTTTAGCATGAGTGTACCTGTCTATGATGATTTAAGTGAATGATTTTGATCAGTTTACATTTTTTTTACAGGCGGAGGTACAGTAACTTTCTCATGCACTTTCTGCATAATATTGATCCAGAACGACTCTCCGTAAAGTAGACCTGCCCAATACTTGTCCGGGTAGCACAGTATGTATTGAGACAAGCTTTATGGGCTCAAATATCAATAAGGGGATAGGGTACAGAACAAAGTACCTTGTAATATTCATGAGTGCCTTCAGAAAGTATTCATGCCCCTTGACTCATTCCACATTTTGTTGTGTTACAGTCTGAATTCAACATTTATAAATACTTTTTTTCTTCTCACCCATCTACACACCCCATAATGACAATGTGAAAACATGTTTTTAGAAATGTTGGCTAATTTATTGAAAATGAAATACAGAAATATCTCATTTACATAGGTATTCACACCCCTGAGAAGCACCAATCATGTTAAACACTATTATTGCACACAGTGAGTCCATGCAACTTATAATGTGACTTATTAAGCACATTTTTAGTCCTGAACTTATTTATGCTTGCCATATCAAATGGGTTGAATACTTATTGACATTTTAGCTTTTCATTTTTAATTAATTTTTACAAATGTTAAAAAAACGTAATTCCACTTTGACATTATGGGGTATTGTGTGTAGGCCAGTGACCAAAAAAAACTCAATTGTATCCATTTTAAATTCAGGCTGTAACACAATAAAATGTGAAAAAGTCAAGGGGTGTGAATACTTTCTGAAGGCACTGTACGTACAAATCAACTGTGGCATTTGTTTTAGAAAGAGGTCACATTTCAACTGTAGCTGCATTTGGACTCTTTGCACTTGCACTGATGACACTGGCTGTCGCCATTCTGAATTTGAAAAAGAGGTGTCAGGTTACAAAGAAAAAAGGTACAATTAATCTCATCAAACGTTTGTATTTTTGTTGCAAAACTATGGAACGTTCACATTAAACATTCTATTTCCCAAACTGCACTGATGTGTTTTTAGATGTGGAGGATAACAACTATGTTGAGATGCACAAGTATTTACGGCCGCAGGAGGAGACCAAGACCAACCCAGACCAAGACACCTCCCAATATGGTAACTCACAGCAGAGAATGACACACAGTACACTGCCATCATATTTTAAGTGCACAGTAATAAGTATCACCACTTGAAGATTCTAAAAGTATATTTTGTAAGATTGTGAAATTGTCTCACAACAGTATTCTGCAGACCTATTGCACCCGCTTCAAGCCAGAGAAGGCGAAGACTATCACTGGATTTGGAAGATAATGATATCTATGTATGAAGAACATGGTATCATTGAGAAATTCCGAATGTGTTTATGGCATTATATTTCAATAGCATCTATTTTACAATATGAAATATGCAATTATGTACCATATTGACTGATCATAATCAACAATTAATGATGTTGTGTTTATGCAATGATAGTATAATATTTTGTGGTATATTTCTTTTTTAATACAAATAGTTAATAGTAGAGACTAGAGAGGAGAGATATAGTGTTGTTGTTTTTTTACCTGTATTTTGATATTGTATCATACCCCTGTTCACATTACTTTAGTATCAGACTTGACCACTAGGTGGTAGCATTACAGTGTGAAAAAGACAATAGGTGAGAAGAAACATCCCAGGATTACTGTAATTACATCAATAGTTGTTTCCAAACACATGGACACACTGGGACAAGTGTAAATTATTACATTTCTAATTTCAAACCAAACTGGTATGGTCATTATTGTCAAATGTATGTTTTTCTTCTTCAAAATGAAGATCATTAGAATATACTACCATCATTACATAGTTCAAGTAGTTTAAGTCACCAGATTTTAGAATGAAGAATGTAAATAAATGTAAATATACTTACTAAAAGTACACAGAAAGTGTCAAATAGATGACATATGCATACACATAATTTGTATATTTGTGCAGTGTGAATTGCAATGTCAGCTTAGTGAATTTTGATTATTTTTGAAACCTCATCATTGCCAATTTGATCATTCATACCATTGCTGTTGGTAATCCTGAAGAAAACTATTCAAAGTACATAGCAGTGTAGCAATGGCTCTAATTGCAAACAGATTTTCATTGTGGAATTTAGTAAATAGGTTCAAGGACTTTCATAATATTACAAAATAAGTTTTGAGAAGACAACAATAATCAATGGTTGTATAGCTAATTACATTTGCAGGGTATTCTTTCATGAAATAACTATGTAAATAATTAGTAGCTTAACTATGTACACATCAATTGTAATAATAAAAGGCAATTTACCCATTTCAAAACTCCTTTTCAAAATTGGTATAAAACATATATATGGCAATTATTTCCTGAGATTTGGAACTTACAAAATCATTAGCAATTATTTGTAGGTATTTCTGCGGTATTACCTGCACTTAAAAAATAAATAAATGTATATGTTTTAAAATATAAACACATACATTTCCTTCTCCATGCACACACATCTATGGAAGATCAAGGGAAATACATAGGAAATATCTCAATGAGTTTAAAAACAGTTGCTAAATACATTTCTAAATGTATACACTATATAGACATTATAAAAGGAAAAAAGCTACTGAAATTCTGTAGCTTATAGCGTTTTGGAAAATTAGCACACCGTACTCCATTTTAGTATCATATAATTTTTTGGTATGATATAAAAACCAATTAATTACACCCAAAACAATGAATATTTATATTTATATTTGGAACATTACTATTAAGTTGTCTGATTTGGACCTCTACTACAACCTATGAAACATCATTGCACATCCAAGGGATACATGTATCTGTCATGTAACCCTACATGCATGGCCAGACCCCAGTGCATCCACATTCTTAGAACAATGCAAATGCTGCAGGGAGAAGACAATATTAGGAAACGTGGAGAAGAGAGGTGTACAGCAAAACTTGCATTTACAGTGGCTTGCGAAAGTATTCAACCCCCTTGGCATTTTTCCTATTTTGTTGCCTTACAACCTGGAATTAAAATGGATTTTTTGGGGGTTTCTATCATTTGATTTACACAACATGCCTACCACTTTGAAGATGCAAAATATTTTTTATTGTGAAAAAAACTGAACTTGAGCATGCATATCTATTCACCATCCCAAAGTCAATACTTTGTAGAGTCAACTTTTGCAGCAATTACAGCTGCAAGTCTCTTGGGGTATGTCTCTATAAGCTTGGCACATCTAGACATTTAAATGTTTCCCCTTAAACCACTCGAGTGTTGCTTTAGCAGTATGCTTAGGGTCATTGTCCTGCTGGAAGGTGAACCTCCATCCCAGTCTCAAATCTCTGGAAGACTGAAACAGGTTTCCCTCAAGAATTTCCCTGTATTTAGCGCCATCCATCATTCCTTCAATTATGACCAGTTTCCCAGTCCCTGCCGATGAAAAACATCCCCGCAGCATGATGCTGCCACCACCATGCTTCACTGTGGGGATGGTGTTCTCGGGGTGATGAGAGGTGTTGGGTTTGCGCCAGACATAGCGTTTCCCTGATGGCCAAAAAGCTCAATTTTAGTCTCATCTGACCAGAGTACCTTCTTCCATATGTTTGTGGAGTCTCCCACATGCCTTTTGGCAAACACCAAAGGTGTTTGCTTATTTTTTTCTTTAAGCTATGGCTTTTTTCTGGCCACTCTTCCGTAAAGCCCAGCTCTGTGGAGTGTACGGCTTAAAAGATGTCCTATGGACAGATACTCCAATCTCCGCTGTGGAGCTTTGCAGCTCCTTCAGGGTTATCTTTGGTCTCTTTGTTGCCTCTCTGATTAATGCCCTCCTTGCCTGGTCTGTGAGTTTTGGTGGGCGGCCCTCTTTTGGCAGGTTTGTTGTGGTGCCATATTCTTTCTATTTTTTAATAATGGATTTAATGGTGCTCCGTGGGATGTTCAAAGTTTCGGATATTTTTTTATAACCCAACCCTGATCTGTACTTCTCCACAACTTTGTCCCTGACCTGTTTGGAGAGCTCCTTGGTCTTCATGGTGCCACTTGCTTGGTGGTGCCCCTTGCTTAGTTGTGTTGCAGACTCTGGGGCCTTTCAGAACAGGTGTATATATACTGAAATCATGTGACAGATCATGTGATACTTAGATTGCACACAGGTGGACTTTATTTAACTAATTATGTGATTTCTGAAAGTAATTGGTTGCACTAGATCTTATTTAGGGCCTTCATAGCAAAGGGGGTGAACACATATGCACGCACCACTTTTCCGTTATCCATTTTTTTGAATTTTTTGAAACAAGTTATTTTTTTCATTTCACTTCACCAACTTGGGCTAATTTGTGGATGTCCGTTACATGAAATCCAAATAAAAATCAATTTCAATTACAGGTTGTAATGCAACAAAATAGGAAAAACACCAAGGGGGATGAATACTTTTGCAAGGCACTGTAGGAAATGAAACATATTATTCCCAGGCAGTTACCAGCATACTTAAAACAAACAGATAAACAAAAATGCAAAACACCACCAACAACAACCTCCGGCTACCTGCCTTCCATGTTTGTAGCTTCCAAGTGAGGTTAGAGGTGAAAGGAGTAGGATCACATGCATATTGTGTCAAGGTAAGACCATGCAATGGGCCCCGTCCAGGGGGCAATAAAAGGCCCAATCTTTACGACCCACCATTATCAAACTTTCCATAAACTTTATGACCTGGCTTTAGTTAATGATTCAACTGACAGGTGACAAAGATCCACAAAATGTACATGGCAAAACGTCTCCCTCTTCTACTTCATTTATTTGACCTTCATTCCTTTTTCTCATGGGAATCATGATGGGAGAGAGAGGAGATAATGAATCATATCTTGAGGTAGTAGATTATATTTCCTTGTCCCCCTTGTCCATGCTGGCTAATAATACCTCACAGAGCATTGCAGTCTGATAAACTCTTATTACCATTGTGACTCATCATCACAACTTTACATTTTAGCCCCATAAAAACAAAGCACCTCACACCTCTTAATACATTTAAAGTATGGTATAAACTGTAATAAAAGCGGAAACAGGTAAATAAAGCACACATTTCTTGTTGGTCACTGTTGGGACTACTTTTCCTTTTTCAGAAAGCAGTCATTAGTAAATACCATACATGGTAGGTATATTTCCTTGACCTTAATTTAGTTATTAGCCTACCAAATACTTATTTTGTGATTAATGGAAATATATTTATTCCAAACAGGATGCAATTTAAATTACAAATCAGAAATGTTCCCAAATTTTTTAAATTACTTCTTTTTTTAAATGTCAGTTTACACATCTCTTGAGCAATGTTGTACCGTTCAATGCTCCTGTAGATCCAATTAAAATTCCTTAACCAGCATTACATGTTTTCATAATCTACAAAGAACCGTAATGACCTGCATTACCATACAATATAAGTGTCTTTTTACAGCTCTCTACACACACTGAGGAAACATCCGGAAATGCTGTGAAACCCCTGATACCCCTCAGCCACTACTGGACTAATAGCCAAGCATATTCAGCAAGCTGCCTGACACTAAACTAAATGTCTCATCTCTGTAAAACAATAAATCTACCATAAATCCATAAAGACAAAGATAATCCCCCCACAGGGGGTGATTCTCTATATTCAGACTGACTAGTCAACTTGTCACACAACTAATGCTGCATGATGGGTCTCTTAATAAAAAGTCAATTATTTTCTGCATATTTTCAATCCATGCATGTATTAAAAACAAATAATCCACATGAGCAACACAATGCCTACATCACCCATGCTCTACCAAGGTTTTCCAACACACAGCTTTCACCTACTACAGTAGCTATGTTGGTCTATTGTACTTCAGACAATGTGTAGGCAGGTTGCATAGAATTCAAGCCTTCTCAAACAGCCTAATTCATACTCTTAGAGAAAGTGCTCCCACAATAATGTGATTTGTACTGCATGCAAGGTAAAGTGTTGGATTCTTCACCGCACCACACTTAGACATTATTAAGCTTTTTAAAATAATATTAAAGCAAGCTTTGCATTTATTCTTACAAGACCATCAGGCTTGATTGAGTGAGCTGTTTTGTCTTGTAGTAATGTGGTGCCTG